AGGAGGTTAGAGCTAGGTACATTGCAAGTACATTATATAGCATGTTTTAACTTACCTGTAGAAACACTTTGTCCCTTTCTGCACACAAGTAATAAAGGTTGTCATGTAACTCAATACTAAAGGTATTTGCTCCAGGTTTAGGCCGGTCAATTTTAAAATCTAGAAACAAAAACAAAAAACTCAATTTACTAGACATAGAAAGTCAAATTATATGTAAGTAATTAGTAATTAGCTCACTACAATTTAGTAAAATATATTTATAGACTGGAAATCATTATTTTGTTTGAATAATATGGTCTAGGCTAGGCAAGATTTTAAAGTCAGCTAGGCCTATAACATAAACAAGGGTACACAGAGTTTCTTTGTGCTAGTCTATCTGGCACAAATGCTCAAAGAAACATTCTCAAGCTTTAAACAGGTCATAATTGCTTTAATAAGCAGATTTCCTAAAGATTTGTGTCTATTCAGTAACAGATCACAGATGACATCAAAATTTGGTAAGAACAACAAAGTGACACATGAGGGGCAGCTGAGTGTGGCAGTGGTGATGTTACCACATTTTGACTTCCCCTATGATCTCTTACTGTACAGACCCATGGCAACATGGAAGCTATTTGTTTCATATAGTAAAGAAGCATAAAATTCCTGATGGTGATGTCATCTATGTATCTGCCCTCCAATAGACCATAAGTAAGAACCAATTGAAGAAAGGAAAAGTTTTATTACCTCAGCAGTGGTTATTGTAGTTAGATTAATGTGACCTAGAAGGTTTTGGTGTATGGTCATGAAACCTCGAGTATCAGTGACTAGTGATTATAGTCCATTTTACATTTGCTTCGTTGGTTGCCAAGCCTTTGAATAGGAGTGAGGCTAAGGATATGTTACACTGATGTTGGTGCATTACAAATGTGAATTACTTTGTTATCATGCTAACTTAAGATACTCGTCTCTATCATAACAACGTCACCTTCAGCCTCACTCCAAATCAAAGGTTTAGCAACCAAGTACACAACTGTAAAATGGCCTATTTGCAAGGTAGTTACGAAAACGAAGACCCCGAAAACGAAGACCTAAGACCCTCTACGAAAACGAAGACCCATTACGGAAAAAATAAAAACAATAAAAACAATAAAGCAATACAGAAACAAGACACCTGAATTCTTTGCCGGCGAAAACCACAGGAAGTAATGGTGTTTTAGTAATGTGTCTTCGTGTTCGTGATGGGTCTTCGTTTTCGTAGGGGGTATTCGTTTTCATAATTGGATCTTCGTTTTCGTAATGGGTCTAATCGTTTCCATAGAGGGTCTTAGGTCTTCGTTTTCGGGGTCTTCGTTTTCGTAACTACCTATTTACAATTAAATCTCGATTGAATTAAAAAGCATAAAAAATCCCCGTTGTGGGTTTTTAAATAGATTACGTCCATGATTTGCAATTTTAAGCTAATTTTGCAATGCATTAACTTCCACGTGTCAGTTTATGAACGCCGCTCCGTTAGTGTTGCAATATACACCTCGAATTAGTCTCGAATTTTTGTATAAATTACATCACATTTTTACATGAAAGAAAGCTTCCTGAGAGCCTTGTGTGGGGATCAGACCGTACGAACGCTTTTTTTTTTTACCTGTTTGAGCACTCCTGTGGCTTCCAATAAACTTTATTGCGATTTGAAGACCATGTTGAGTTTCGGTCTGAGGCAAAACTGCCATCATGAGGTTTCCCCCTCTGTCAGGATTGTGTTCCTGTTTGATCATACGATAGCACGACTGAATCTCAGTTACCTGTCGAGAGAAAATCATAGATCAGGATTGTTGATTAAGCTTTTTTTTTAACCTAAACAAAACAGTACGTTACTTGACGCAATCTGCGCAGGATGAGAACTGTTTGGAAGATGTACAATTAAATTTACAACAATCTTATCGTACCTGAACCATGTTTGCGTTTTAAAGCTTTCCTTCTAGACTTGCTCTGATAATCTTGGGTTCTTTCGCCGCCAATAGCGAATTGCAGCATAAGTTCTTCTTATATACGAACATTTGAGGAAGTTTAACATGCAAATTGACATAGGGGGAGTCCCCACAGTCACGCGGTCAATTTCCACAGATTTCTTTAGTTTCTATCCAGTTAAGACTGGTTTCTAGGGCTGCATATTGAGCATGCAGTGGGAAATACCCACAATTTTGCTTCAAAGAGCAGAATACTATTCTAGAAATTTGTCAAAACAACTAGCCATGCTAGTAAAGAAAGCAAATGCAAATAGAATTTTAAAGCTACTCCCATCGGCCCGAAGACATTCCTCTGAGAAAATGAAAGACTGAAACATCTTTGCAAGTGATGTGAGAGATCGACTAATACAAACGCTGTTGTGTGATAATTTGTGTATTTTGGGATCGTCACGCAACTGGCTGCGTGACGTTAGGGCCCTTATGAGAGAAAGAAGTGTCAAGGCAGACAAAACTGTCAGATATAATTTCCGAAAAACTAAAAAAAATTTAAGTAAAAGAGTACGATCCAGGTGCAGAAGAAGTCACAGTTGCAGTCTATGTATGAAAGATTGCAAACACCTGAAAGCTATAAGCCGTGTTGTTAAAGAAAATTCCCTATGAAAAGGAAAGCATTTTATTAAATCCTATCACAATCGGATTAAGTCACAAAATTGACCAAATGCGCAATTTTTTACTATGAGGACCAAGAGTATCTCAAAACTTCGGTCTAAACCAGTCAGGTGGCCTTGTGAGTCATTGCATTACAATAACAGAGTATGAAAACGAGTACTGTTTTTGAAAACACTCCAAGATATGGAGATTAAGTCAAAAGGGGTAACTAGAATGTTGATGTCTTACGCTATGTGAAGGGTGTTTAACTCATATAAAACGAAAATTTTTCAAGATTCTCGATCGAGAATTTTAAATTTTTCTCCGTACATTGTGAGCAGGTTCAACAACAACAGAACTCAACATGGGTTTGAGACGTGGCCTTTGTGCCCTTTAATCACGAGGGAGGCACTTTATCCATAGTTCCTGAACAGACTGGGGTAGATATGAATCTTGTTCCGCTTTATTGAGCGTGATTAAGTGGCAAACAATGGCGAGAAATTCACACTGGAGAGGAAGAAAAATAAGGCCAATTACTCAGAAAACGGCGCGTCTTGTTTCTATTACGTCCACGTTCTTTTAACGTATTGGAATATCTGCCCTGAAATGTAACGTCAGCATCGCAGAGCAATTCTTGCATTTGAAATCTCTTCCACACGTTGACCAAATGGATTCTACGAAAGGGGAAAAAACACTTTTGCCATCGTCGAGCGGGTCTTGTTGTTGAAATTTATCCATCCTTTTCACACTATTATGCATAGCTTGACAGATGAGACCATCGACACCTGATTGTCACCAAAAACTCCCCGCTTCAGTCTCGGCGGGGAATTACTGAGACTGGAGTGATACTTGCGGTTGTCCACAAACATGCTTTGTGTGTAGGTTCCCTGCTTCTGTGTGGGAAATTGCATTCCTATACACGTTCAAGTATGGGGAATTTTTAGCTTTTAGCAGTTTATCAAATGCAGACATCACCATCTCTTACAACACTCAGATCACCCTCCTTTTAACTTAACATAATCTTTTTTGTTTTCTCATTTCTGATCCAAGAAAAAATTATTTCAGCCTATAGAATAAGTGTTTTATTTCATTCACAAACCAACTTAAGCTTGCATTACAAGGAAGGGGCAAATATAACCGCCTATAATAGCTTTTAACAGTTTATCAAATGCAGACATCACCATCTCTTACAACACTCAGATCACCCTCCTTTTAACTTAACATAATCTTTTTTGTTTTCTCATTTCTGATCCAAGAAAAAATTATTTCAGCCTATAGAATAAGTGTTTTATTTCATTCACAAACCAACTTAAGCTTGCATTACAAGGAAGGGGCAAATATAACCGCCTATAATAGCTTTTAACAGTTTATCAAATGCAGACATCACCATCTCTTACAACACTCAGATCACCCTCCTTTTAACTTAACATAATCTTTTTTGTTTTCTCATTTCTGATCCAAGAAAAAATTATTTCAGCCTATAGAATAAGTGTTTTATTTCATTCACAAACCAACTTAAGCTTGCATTACAAGGAAGGGGCAAATATAACCGCCTATAATAGCTTTTAACAGTTTATCAAATGCAGACATCACCATCTCTTACAACACTCAGATCACCCTCCTTTTAACTTAACATAATCTTTTTTGTTTTCTCATTTCTGATCCAAGAAAAAATTATTTCAGCCTATAGAATAAGTGTTTTATTTCATTCACAAACCAACTTAAGCTTGCATTACAAGGAAGGGGCAAATATAACCGCCTATAATAGCTTTTACTAATGCAGACATCACCATCTCTTACAACACTCAGATCACCCTCCTTTTAACTTAACATAATCTTTTTTGTTTTCTCATTTCTGATCCAAGAAAAAATTATTTCAGCCTATAGAATAAGTGTTTTATTTCATTCACAAACCAACTTAAGCTTGCATTACAAGGAAGGGGCAAATATAACCGCCTATAATAGCTTTTAACAGTTTATCAAATGCAGACATCACCATCTCTTACAACACTCAGATCACCCTCCTTTTAACTTAACATAATCTTTTTTGTTTTCTCATTTCTGATCCAAGAAAAAATTATTTCAGCCTATAGAATAAGTGTTTTATTTCATTCACAAACCAACTTAAGCTTGCATTACAAGGAAGGGGCAAATATAACCGCCTATAATAGCTTTTAACAGTTTATCAAATGCAGACATCACCATCTCTTACAACACTCAGATCACCCTCCTTTTAACTTAACATAATCTTTTTTGTTTTCTCATTTCTGATCCAAGAAAAAATTATTTCAGCCTATAGAATAAGTGTTTTATTTCATTCACAAACCAACTTAAGCTTGCATTACAAGGAAGGGGCAAATATAACCGCCTATAATAGCTTTTAACAGTTTATCAAATGCAGACATCACCATCTCTTACAACACTCAGATCACCCTCCTTTTAACTTAACATAATCTTTTTTGTTTTCTCATTTCTGATCCAAGAAAAAATTATTTCAGCCTATAGAATAAGTGTTTTATTTCATTCACAAACCAACTTAAGCTTGCATTACAAGGAAGGGGCAAATATAACCGCCTATAATAGCTTTTAACAGTTTATCAAATGCAGACATCACCATCTCTTACAACACTCAGATCACCCTCCTTTTAACTTAACATAATCTTTTTTGTTTTCTCATTTCTGATCCAAGAAAAAATTATTTCAGCCTATAGAATAAGTGTTTTATTTCATTCACAAACCAACTTAAGCTTGCATTACAAGGAAGGGGCAAATATAACCGCCTATAATAGCTTTTAACAGTTTATCAAATGCAGACATCACCATCTCTTACAACACTCAGATCACCCTCCTTTTAACTTAACATAATCTTTTTTGTTTTCTCATTTCTGATCCAAGAAAAAATTATTTCAGCCTATAGAATAAGTGTTTTATTTCATTCACAAACCAACTTAAGCTTGCATTACAAGGAAGGGGCAAATATAACCGCCTATAATAGCTTTTAACAGTTTATCAAATGCAGACATCACCATCTCTTACAACACTCAGATCACCCTCCTTTTAACTTAACATAATCTTTTTTGTTTTCTCATTTCTGATCACCCGTAATTCAGCCTCTGGGCTGCAAGTGGTCAGATATAAACTATATTCATATTCATATGCTTGTCAAGAATCTACGGACTGTACTTAACTAAGTACATAAGTAACATCGACATAACAAGAAGGTCAATAGTTGGCATTTTTCGTCATGAAGGAGCTCTGAAGAGATGAACGAGTTCATATTTGCCCGAGATTTTACTTCCTGTCTGAACATATTCATTTTTCTTTGGTAGAGAAAATTAAGGTATTCAGTGGGTTAGTTAACTTACAGTGCACTGTAAAAGATAGCTAAGATAAAGAACGTCATAAGTTGCTAATGACTTGCACTCTCTCAGATGTTAGCGAAATCCAAAGAAGTTTGGCAGAGAGTATGAGCAATAAATGGAATTTATTGATTTACCTTTGAATTTGCATCCAGCTCAATCTCATTAGATTCATTGGTTGATCTCGATCGGAACCAAGCCCTTATTCTTCGAATGAATTTAGAGAGAGGATGCATATCGACTTTGAAGACTGGTGTTTCCTCTTTGGCAAGCTTTTGACTCTACGACACTCATGGTCTGGAAATTATGGAAATTGTGTCATGTTGGGTAAGTTCCCACTAATAACTGCAGCCAATCAGGGGTTTTGGCGGTCACACCTACAACACGGGACAAGAATGTAAAATACCGGAAGTTATGATTAGTTAATTTCGATTTGAGTTGTCTGTCTGTATTCCGGACTCTGGACCCCTTCCTCCGTCTGCAAGGTACGCATGCAAGTTAAGTGTTGTAGGTGTAATCAATTCAATTTGTTTGTTACCAGTCATAGGGGTTTGAAAATTAAGGACAGTCCTCCATTTCGTTTCTGTTTGTTTTTGGAAGGCCGCCTGTAAACTTCCTGTGGATCTAGCAGTTCTGAATAAAGAAGATGTTTCTTATGAGAGAGAGAGACCATTCATTTGTATTTAATTAAAGCGTGCAAAAACTATTTCTGTTTAGGGGATGTTTTGATACTACGATGATGCAATACCACTAAAAACGTCATTTGGAACTTTTCTGAAGTATACTCGACTAATTCTACCTTAGCTCTAATGACCCCAGAGATTATTGGAGAGCTTTTCCTAGTATTATAGAATGCAAATTGCTGCTGATTTTGAGCCCATATATTTGAACGGTTTTTATTTTTATTTTTATTGAGAACATTGAATCAGGTTAGAAAAAATATTGAACTGTTCATCTTTTTTCGATCAGCTATAAATCAAGGAATTTCTGATGGCCTTTCGGGTTTTGTCTGAAGAGTAATCATGTGTTATGAACCTATTTTCTTCTCGTAACAAAAGAAATAAAAAAAAGGAATTTAAGGGAAGTGGATACGCGGAGAAATTTATGGTGAAAGAAAAATGATTCAAGGAGAAGGACGACCCGAAGTCAAACGAAACAAAATTAAACAATTGAAAACGAATGAAGAGATACTGCCAGAAATGAATAGTAAATAAAACTGCGATAAAGCCTAGGGTTTACTTAACTGCGCTCTCTGATCATTTCCGGCTGATAAAAATCTCTACTGATCAAGCCATAAAAATTATTCACAAACTATGTAGTAATACACCTAAAGTTAGATACATTACTTCAGCAGTTTGATGACAAGCACGTGAAAAGGTGTCGTGTGATCATGGTTACTGCACAAAAATTTGATTATCGATTATCCTCATCCATTGTTTACTGTGTAAATAATCAATAGTTGCTACAGGTAAAGGAAAAAAGATATCCTCTAGGTCAGGGAAAAGTCAAGGAAGTTCACTTTGAGACAGGGAAAATTTACGTTACGTACGAAGAAGTCCGGGAGAAGTAAAATCTCGAGTAAAAACGAACTCGTTCATCTTTTCAGAGCCCCTTCATAATGAGAGATGTTAACTATTGACCTTTTGGTGATGTCGATGTTACTCATGTAAAGCCGGTCCGTAGACAAGCATATCTGCCCTTCTTGTTATGCAAACTCGATTTCATTGTCTTCTACATTTCCTGAGAAACCCAACGTCAGCTTTTCGTTAAATTTCATTCAACAATATTTTGTCACAATATACTATCGTCTAACACGTTCCACGAAAGTGAAATATATGAAAGAATTTGATATTAAATCTTTGTTCCACGTTACGTTAAGCGGGAACTATAATTTTTATTCACACTGCATGTAACTTGCTGAGACATAAATAAATCAGTGAGTGGAGGGAACGGCTGTGAGGGGACGTTGAAGGCCAATACCAAGACTGTTTTGTGAAATTGTTAATCCAGATTTTTAGAGATATTTTAAATTTGTCAGGGAAAAGTCAAGGAATTGCAAAAACCTTTGGCTGTGGCAACCATGACATTACTTGAGAATAAGATTAGCACTTGAAAAAATCACTGCTGTCATTGTTCCTGAATGCGGTCAGGGGTCAGATCTACCTTAAAATTCTCAGAATGATTAGTAACTTGCCGACGTTCAAGGGACCACGAACACCACTCTCGAGTCTGCACTTTCGAGTTAAAATCAGTGCTTCCAGGACGTAAACCATCTATCTACAGTAAGTGAGAGAGCCCTGTTTCATCTTAGAGAAACGTGTGAACTGTTTAATGTGCATCACATGAAAAGGTTAGGGATTTTTGGCCAGTACCGTCACCAACAGATTGATAAACAAAACCAATAATTTTCTAAATTGGTACTTGGTATGTTTTTCAATGGAAACCAGTGATAATTTTTTTTTTGTTTGTAGGGTGGGTTTGTGCGTTTTTAATTCTGCACTTGGTGCCTTTTTCGAAATCGAAAGACAGATTGGTGTCAAAGAATGACCCCTCGTAGAGTACGAGTCTCCAAAGGTAAAGGCGCTTTACATTCCACTCGGTTTAATATTTTGGGAAAAAAAACTTCATCCTCAAAACTACTCAAGCAATGATCACATCTTTTCTGCTCAAAAAATCAAATTTCATTGAAATTTAACCACAATGAACGTGACTTGCAACTTAAGTGTTAGTGGCAGGAAACTATGCATGGGGCGACTCAGCACCAGCCAACAGCTGAAAAACGTGTAAGAGCAGATGCCTTTCTCGGCTCTTGTAGACTAACAGTCGAGTCCTGGTGTCTTAAAACTGATGAAAAACTCAAAACAAGGACAAAAGCGAAAACGTAGGCTTGGCAAAATTGGAGACGGTTGTCGGAATTGCGTGATTTGTACATTTTTTCCGCCGGTAACGGAACATACTTTTTGTCAAATCATTCTGCGGTACAATGACACTTAAATAATCTTACAAAGGTTAAACGGAGTGAAACTAAGTGGCATTACGTAAATTAAAATATACAGAAACATCATATACATTGCGGAAAAGTGTATCATAATTTCACTGTTTTCCGCCACTTGCACTAGTGATTCGGTATTCGGTACATACTTGGCTTTATTTTTGTATTTTAAACGCAGATATTCTTAGATTTACAAGTTAATCAAGTTAGATCAGTCTGATACTCTTTTCTTTTTTAGCTAGACCGGATCTAAAGCCAGATTTTCATTGAAAGCTAACCACTGACCATCGCACTATTTAACCACTGACCATCGCACAGAAATTAACGACTATTTGCGGAAGATTTGATTATGGTTGCGTTTTTTTGTTTTGTTTTGTTTTGACCTCATACAAGTGATCAATACCGGTGTGTTTCATCGGTAATTATGCAAGCTAAGATAATTCACGCAAGTCTGTTGTCAATGTTGTAACACCGTTTTGCGTCCACTGAGTCGCTCACATTGGTTGCCATATGCCGTGTTAATTCATAGTTTTTCCTTTTTAACTAGACGCAACGAAAAGAAGGATCAAAGAGGCCATCCAAATCTTTGTAAGGTTTCAAAATACGACGCATGTCCAAAACTGGGTGGATGCCTCACTGTCTTCCTGTTTGGATTCTTCAGTATTACACCCCTACACAGTTTGTTACCTTTGACCTCGATGTTGTCTCCAGTGATCCTTACTGAGAGAGGATGTGACGCATGCTTCCTTTTCGTTTGCTTCCGCTTCTTCGCCTATATTGAAATCAACTAGTTACCGACAGGGATAGTACAAGTAGACTGGACTGGACTAACCTAGAGGCAAGCTCGTGGAAACTTCAGTGGCACTCAAAAGTTGTATTATGAAACGAAATATTACTTAAGACTTAAAATTCAGTTTCTTTGGAAGTATCGTTTCGAGAGAAAGTCTTTGTCATGCATCTACTCACCCCGACCCTCTCGTCCCTGCCCTAGTACCGAAGGGGTTACGCGGGGCTAAAAATTTCTGAGGAACTTTTCAGCGGGGCTCCCACGCGTGCGAAGCGCGCGTGGGACAGAGCCAAATACCCATGGAATATGGTCAACCTCTTTTCGTTTGGTTGTCACGTGACTGACCGAGCGTACGCACGTAAGTACGTGCCTTCAGATTGCATGGGTGGGGTAGGGGAGACTATCAAAACGAGGGGAGGGGTGTTTCAGGAGAGTCTTGGCAAATGCACATCTTTTATGTTATCATTAAAATTACGAACTTGGGAGCTCCGCTTTCAGGCTTGGCTAAATCTATGTATTATTTATAGGTCGTGCCGTTAGACACAGAACACTGTTTGTGGTGGAATTTTATGCCGGACTGAAGGAAGATGCTGCGAGCTACTCAGCAGTTATACAAGACAGTATTTATGCTGATAGTCCTCTTTGACGGTAAGGGTTATGATCAGTTCAAACGAATTCGATGAAGATTGCGGACGAAAACAACTCGATCATGTTTAGAAACCACTCATTTGCATTCGCTGTGAACGTACTGATGGGCGAATGTGTAAAATTACAGTTCACCCTCGATTTTCTTTAGAAAGCGCTGGAAACGTCCCCAGTTAGTTTCCCCTTTTTAGGGAGCGAAGATTCAACAATTCCTTACGTTGAAGTTTCGGATAATTTTCTGAAAATTTCCCATACCTCTACTACAGCAGCCTAGAAGCTGCATGTATATATTTATTTCTATTATTACTTTATCGAGATTGTCTCAGTTTTTTTCTGTGGGACTGTATAGCCCTTCATAAAGTTAATGGCTACATAGAGTTAATATTAGTCCCGTAGTAGGACCGGAACAAGCAACTGGACTCGTAGTCCATAATTTCTATCGATCGAGATCCACTAATCTGAACCGCTCGAAAATCACGAGACTTTGTTAGAACTTGGTTTCTACATCACTCAAGCGCACTTCGCAGTATTTAATATGGTCGCTGAGAAGTTAGTGCAAAGTTAACCAGCGCTTTGGGAAGGAATACTCTTGCTAGCAGTTTCGTTCCAGTTTTAACTTGTCAACTGAATCAAAATCAGAGAAAAATTGGGTAGAGTGATCTTAGAGGTTTTTTTGTGCAATTTAAGCAGAACTTTTGATTAAAGGAAATTATTGTTACAAAAAGTTGCCTTTTTTGTCAAAATACAAAGATGAATCGCTTGCTGTTAAACGCTAATGAGGGCCCTGCAATTACCTATAATGTCCTTTACCTGCTGTAATCTGCAGGATAAATTTGAAAAGGGCTCATTAATTCCAGGGTAAAACAGATAAAAGAGAACGTTTATTGCAATTAGTCTTAAATATGTAGGAATGTGAATTTTATTGTGAAATTAGGATGCAAAAGTGCAGTGAGCAAGGTAATATTAGTGTTAGAAGAAATTATATGATTCATCCAATCCTCAAAGTTTAAAAGGTTATAACCAGTAGGCAAGTAGCATATGGAATATTATAGCACTTGCATGCCAACCACATGCCTGTTGAGAGTCTTTATACCGGTAATTTAAGCATACCTTAGCTTCCATAAAGTACAACCCCGTGCAGGAGAGTTACCTGGGTCAATTTTTGTTTGCTATGTGCTGCTAGCCTCTCAGAACCCTAACCTCATCATAGTCAATTTAAGTAATTTGTGGCTCATTATAGTCTTTATTAGTCAGGGCAGATGTTTTGGCAAACTTTGTTCTGATCCAAGAGGTTCTAGTCTGTTGTGCAACTGGTTAATGTTTTGTGATTTTAAGAATGAAATGTATCACAAGCAGATTTTATGTATTACAAGAAAAAGCTCTAAATACTGGTACAAATTTTTAACAGCTAATGTTCCCATTTTTAAAAGTCTACCAGGAATCTATTATTAAGTAATGACTCCTCGTGCTACTTTTAGAATTTTCATACCCCCCAAAGTCCCGAAAATGTGCAACATACTTTAGCAACTCTATTAAAAATGCAGCCCTATTATAGTCAATCTAGGCATGAAAATGGGAGTTCATCTGGTGGCACACCTTCACTTGCCTATTACTAGGAAGTGTCGGCCCCTCTCACACCCCAGTACAGCCATGGAACTAGTAAAGAGTTGCAGTTTTAAACTTTCAAAAAGCTTTAGGCTTAACACTTGAACAAGCTAGGCTCAACCTTCTTGCAGTTTCTTCATCATTCTGGGAGGGAGTCATGCCAAAAAAAAAAAAATGATAAATACTGTGGCACTGAGTGCCTTGAGGTGATTTCTACACAATCCAACTGACTCCCTCAACATAGTGTGATGTTGTCCAAGTCGTTCTTTAAGGGAAGGACTGCCTTATCAAGGTTTTACTCTTCTTTCAATATATCATTTTTCCTTTACACTTTTTACAGGGTTAGCAACAGTTGAACCACGAGTCCAAATAATAAGTCCTGTAGACAACCAAATCATCAAGTTCAACCAATCTGTCTTTTTCAACTGTACTGTCAGTCTGGGAAAGAACATCACTGGAACACTTGAGTGGAGAAGAGATGGTGTTTTAATTCCAACCACTAAGAAATCTCAATATTGGGCAAGTTTTGAACTTGGTAAGTATGTGACTATCATAGTGAGTAAGGAAGGGAGGGCTCAACCATTGACCCCCAGAAGTGACTAGCATCTCATTTCTCCTTACATTATCAACCCTGAATCAATCATTACAGTTGTGAGAATAAAGGAAATGATTAACAACAAAACAAGCTCTTGAATATTACACAAGCTCTCCTTTCCAGCACCTTAGGAAATGTATAGAGAACAGTATGGAGAATATGCATACTGATGCTATGGTGTAAAAGATTAAAAGGGGTAATACCTAATAGTAATTGAAAATCTGGGATAAACTCCTTACCCTTCATTACACTCTCAGATGTTATTAACATGTAACTTCTCCCTCCAATATCCTTACATTATCCAGCAGACAGGTGACAAGAATACTTAAACTCATCAGGTAGAGGTCCTAATCTTATATCTAACACTAAATTCTTGTTCCTTCTTTCCAAGGAAATGTGTAGCAGCTTGAGTGGAGAATTGACAGTCAGATATAAGGAGTTAAAGAGTTAACCATTCATATATAAACGGAATATTCAAATGAAACTAAAAGCCAAGTTTAGCTTACAATACCGTAACAATTCAATACAATATTCTTTATTTAACAAAGGTGACGTAATTAAACCAATGAGTTATCTCTTACGGCCTTCACATCTCCAATGAAACTTTGTGTCAATGGGTGACTATTAAAGAATCTGAAATTTTTCAGGATTAATTAGCTGATAAAAAAGTAAGATAAAATAGGTATGATGGTGTGCTAACTCATAAAAAAATTACTAAAATAGAAATTGTATTTAAAAAGATGTATCAACAAAACTAACATTTTTCTTGTCTTCTGAACATTGATATTGATTTTAATGATGATTCTCTTGATAGGAGCTCTCCAAAAAGATGAGGAAGGAATTTATCAGTGCACTTACTCTAATGGTGAGAGTGACCATGTGCGAGTGTGCCTTGCAGGTAACAAAATTAACTGATGTTCAACAAGTTAATTAATTGAAAACCTAAGATTAGTATGGATATTCCCCATACTGTTCACTATACATTTCCTAAGGTGCCGATAAGGAGAATTTGTTTGACAATCAAGAGCTTCTTTAGTTGGTGATCATTTCCTTTTTTCTCCTGACCTTAATGTGTGGTTCAGGGATGATATGGTAAGGAGAAATTAACTGCTAGTCACTCTCAAGGGGTTGCAGGTTTAAGCAAAGGTGTTACTCATTATGTCATCTCAAGGATAGGAGAGAGAAAAACAACAGAATTCCCTAACAGCAACTGAACCCCACTTTGTGCTGGGGTGGGCTTGTGAGCCCCAATACAGTTGCACCTTTATTAAATGACACTGTACTAAGTAGTGACCCTGTATTAATTAAACACTCAGTTGTCAAGGTCTCCAATTTGTGTCCCCTTAATCACTGAATTATTTATATTTACCTCTATTACGTGGTCACCTCTATTTAGCAATCCCTATCACCCTTCACTATGTCCTAACAGCCTGTTTTTATTATCCTCCATCTGAGTGGGGCCAGCTACCAGCTATCTTCTTCTTGCCATGTGGCACATAAGGCCTCTACACAGTCTCGCCAACCAGCTCTGTCAGCCGCTGCGATTTGTACCTCACTCCAGTTCTTCCATCCAGCTTTTTCCTTTTCTCTCTCTACTGTCTTCTTCCATGTTGTCTTTGGTCTGCCCCATTTTCGCTGCCCTTCTTGGGTCCAGGTTAGTGTAGTTCTGCAGTCATTATTCGGTTCTTTCCTCATGATGTGGCCGAAAAATGTCCATCGTCTCCTTCGCACATCCTCGCTGAGGTTCTCCATCTCAGCCATCTTCAGGACTTCTTTGTTTCTAATTCTTTCCAGCCAGCGTATCTTAGATATCTGTCTGAGACATCTGTTTTGGAAGACGTCGATTTTGCTCTCATCACTTTTGTTCATCTTCCACGTCTCGCAGCCATACATTAGGACTGGCTTTACTTAAGTGTCTTATACAGCCTGATTTTGGTTCATCGACTAATGCTGTTACTACTCCATATCTTTGTCAACCTTACGAATGCCCCTCTCGCTTTGACCACTCTGTTGTGGATTTCCTCAGTGCCTCCACCCTCTTTGGAAACTGTGGCTCCCAAATACACAAATTTATCAATATCTTCTATTCCTCGTCCATACACCTCCACCACATTGTTGCTCCTCGAATTTATTCACATTAGTTTACATTTGCCTACATTGACTTTCAGTCCCACCCTTTCGAATTCTGCCTCATGTGCCAACTTATTGGTCTTAGTCTGAATGTGCTGCCTGGTCGATGACAAAAGGGCTAAATCATCTGCAAAGTCAAGATCCTCGAGCTTTGTGGTGAACTTCCATCTTATTCCAGCGTTCCCCTCTTTCAATGTATTTCTCAACACCCAGTCCACGACTAGCAGGAATAGTAAACCTGACATGTTACAGCCCTGTTTCACTCCAGTTTTGATCTTAAACCACTCCATTGTGTCCTGGCCATCCACTACTGCGCATTCAACTCAGCATATAGAGCTTTCACCATGTTGATTATCTTGGATGGTATCTCTGAGTTGGACCATTCAAATAGAACTAAGAATGATCTTTGAAGCAATTTTCAATCCCTGTTTCTCTCCATATATCAAAGTAAGTTGTACTTTTCAGGCGCGTAGCGTCTTCTATGCATATACGCACGTGCGTACTTGAAGTGACCAGAAAAATTGAAAACAATGTTGTGTTTGCGCCAAGTTTGCTCAAAATAAGGGCAAGACGCTTTGTTCTCTGCTTGTATTCACACAACTTTTTCAAACAAGAAATAAAGAACGCAGTCTTTTCGCTCAGTTTACTTAGGTTTCTAGATCATATGTACTTGTGCGTACTTGAAAAGATGACCATGCTACGTGCTTGCTTTTGAGTGGGATTCTGTACATTCAGTTGTCAATTGTGGCATGTCAATTGCGCCACCCGGTTAGCTCAATAGTCCATTTTACAGTTCTGTGCTTGGTTACCAAGCCTTTGAACGGGAGTGAGGCTAGAGATGACCTTGTTATGATACAAACCTTGCTGCCTTTCAAATGTAAATCACTTTGTTATCATGCTAACTAGATACAGGTCTCTATCACTACAAAGTCAACTTTAGCCTCACTCTGAATCAAAGGCTTGGCAACTAAGTACACAACTGTAAAATGGCCTATTGGTTAGAGCGCTGGACTGTTGTGCGGGAGGTCGAGGTCGATGGTTCGAGCCCCGGCCGGACCAACACTCAAGGTCTTAAAATAACTGAGGAGAATGCACTACCTTTCTATAATATCAAGAAATAGATAGACATTCTAGTCTTCTCGGATAAGGACGAATAAACCGTAGGTCCCGTCTCCTGCATCTACTAATTAGCTAATTTGGTTAGGCAGGGGACGTTAAAAAACCCACTCACGAGATTACTGTGATGTGGTCTGGCCTGTTTACTGGGATTTGGGGGGAGGGGGCATCTTCAAATAAGTTTCCTTCAATTGTTTGTAAACTGCTGATGCAGTCCGGCCAAAGTCCCCCAAAAAGTGTTGTGATGCGCATTTGATCATATTCACATGTTAATTTGTGCAATATAAATATTAAGTTATTATTGTTATTATTATTATTATTATAAAGAGGGGCTGTTCGCCATTTTTCATAATACTCCTAATATCATAGGTGACAAATTACTCCTTAATTTTAGCGCGAAATTTCAGCGTTAATTTTTAATTTCACATGTGAAATTACAAAATTGCCATGGTAACATCTCTTGTATCTCGATCAGAGCCAAGATGGCGTCGAGATTTAAGACGGTGACCCTTGAAGAAGTTACGAAATTAAAAGAAGCGGCCGAAAATTATTAACAGGTACGAAGAATTCGAAAGATATTTTTTGTGAAGAAACTCAGAAAATTACGAACTTTAACAAAAATGTATGCTTTAAACGAAAACTATATTCTTCTTCATGTTCTTGGTTTTTGATGGAATAAACCAGAAAAAACAATTGCGGTTGTGAACGTAATTTGTCACTCACAGTATTAAAAGGTAATCAAATGGTTTTCTTGTCAGGAAATTAGGAAATAATTTCACTTGCGTTTTTTCAAAATTCTGATTATTTCCCTCGCCTAATAGCTCGGGAAATTATCCGAATTTTAACAAAACGCGCGTGAAATTATTTCCTAATTTCACTCGTCGCCATTTGATTACACATACTAATCTATGGAACCTGTGTTAAGCGGTCACCAGGGTGGAGCTGGGTGTTGGGCTAGCAGGTAAGAACTCCATCCTCCAAAGTTGTACCTTAAGGCGGTTCAATAGGGGGACAAGAAGACTGTAGCACTTCCAATGCAATTTATTGTATTTTTGTATTTTGTTTTTGTTTTGTTATTGTAACCTACAGAAAAGCCACAGGGATGGCCTATTAAATTCACCAGTCCAATAAAGACCCTTGTTGATGAATTCCCCACACTGAGCTGTTTTGCGATGGGATGTCCTACACCAAACATCATTTGGTTTAAAAATAATTCACATCAAATAACTGCACCTGGCAAAGACCATAAATATTCCATTGACACTGAAATACCACAGCCTGGAAATCAAACATCAGACTTAAGGATAAATGCAGTTCAATTAGATGATGCGGGGGACTATGTTTGCATAGCTGTTAATGCTCTTGGAAGTGACAACAGCACAATAACACTTAATGTTAAAGGTAATAAACTAATTTATTATATCTCTGGCCTTGCATGCTCGTGGGAAAAATGAAATGACTCCTGTGTTCTGATTGGCTACTTGAGCAGACAAGATAGGCCCATCTTGCCCACTTTGGATTGCCCTCTTTGGTAGGGTGCAAAAAAAATTGAGTTAGTACTAAGTGCGTAATTCTTGGAAAATGTCACTCTTGGAAATGGAAAGGAGGTAGAAGACAGTCAAAATTGAGAAAACATAAATCACTCTCATTAGTTTCTTGTGCTAAAAACACAGTTGGCTTTCTTTCCCGGTTCTCGAAATAAATTCGTCATTCTTGTTTCATAATAAAGCAAATCTTTTTGCAATACAATAAATCCTCTAGCAATCAAGCTTATTTGGTCAAGATGCCTGGATTTACTAGTGTTCCTTTTTTTTTTTTGCATCTTGTGGACCTCTACCTCATCTCAGTCCATAGAAATGCAAAAAAAAAAAACTGGGCCAATCTCAAGGCATCTTGACCTCACTTGGTCAATGGCACATATATTATATATATATATATATATATATATATTATTATAGATATATAATTGTATATTGACTATGATGCAGTGACATATACTACTAATTATGATTTGCAAGTTTTTAAATAGTCACTGTACTTTTCAGTTAATAAAATGTATTTTGATGTGTTCTACATCTATGCCAGTTGCAAAATAATTTGGAAAAATGTTTGAAGAAAAATTGATGAACAAAGCAAAGAATGTAGATAGAAGCAAGCTTTACTAAACTATTTCCACCCACTACTAAACTTCATTTGATTTTGCAGGTAATGATAACAATCTTCTTCCTACAATAGAAGCAAAGAAACCCAAATACACTGCTGAAGTTGGGACCAAAGTAACCCTTGTTTGTGTCGGTGAACAGGTCAGAGATGACCTTTTCACCTTTGTATATTGGACATTCAAAGGAAATGTGCTCTCAAATTCCAGTAAACACTACATAGTAAATGATTCTTTCACCATTAAGGCAGGAAGTACACCTAGGGTACAAACAAAGCTCACCTTGTTAAAATTGGATTATGAGGATAGTGGAAGTTACTCTTGCAAGGTGGACAGTGCACGTGGTACTGATAGTGATATAGTTATACTTGAGGTGATTCCAAAAGGTATGACACCATTTTCTTATATAATGAACTCAATAGAATAATCTGATTGACTTAGTGGACGCCCTTCCTTTGAAGGACTGTTTTTGCCAAAAGATTTTTGATTGATATTTGACCATGACTTTGATTGATTGTTCAGGTTTTCCATTGTTAGTGGCTAAAGTGGCGTAGCTTTGTCATTTATTTATTTGTTTGGTAACATTTGAAATAAATCCAGTCGTTAATAATCATTCGTTACTTTTTCATCATCAGATGATAAGATGGAACTGTGCTTGATTGTCATTTCTTTTGCGGTGCTTTTGGCCTTGACTCTTGTAGTTTTAATCTTTTGTTTGTGGCGGAGGAGAAGACGCAAGCAGGAAATGAAAGCTGCTGATGGAAAATGTGAGTAAGTCCATGGTGGTGATAAAAACAATGTTTATGATACGCATAGCAGAAGGTTATATTATACTGCGAGTCCCCAGGGGCAGACTTCAATACTTGTTCCCTCGAACCAGGATTACGGTCAAGTCTCCCGAAAGTCATCTCGCCCGGAGTCATTTCTCGCCCGAGACCCAGAGTCATGATGCCCGAAATTCACAGTCATGTCGCCCAAAATCCTAAGTCATATCGCCCGAAATTTTATCGAGTGTTTAAACTTGAAGAAAAGTAACATCTTAAATAAATCACAAGGAATAAACTCAGTGCTAAGGAACATGCAGAAAGCTGTAGTCTCTAGCTCCCTTAATATTGCCAGGACTTTCAAGATCCTATCGGACTAAGTTCTTCCAACGATGTCAGTTTTAGATATAGGTTTTAAACATTTATCTCCATTTTAGCGTCTATGGGTATACCATTTTAGAACTCTTAGGTTTATTAATGTCTGGACTTTTAAGGTCCTATCGGACTAAGTTCCTTAAACGTGTCGGGAACCGTGAACAATGCCTTATTTCGTTTAGTTGTTATTGTTCTTTGTTGTGTATGGCCGGAAATGACTTCACTCAATTTCCCAGAATGTACTTTGTACTCCTAGGTATCACGTAGCTGCTTAGTTAAATATAGCGATCCTTCTTGCGCTCGTGTCGGTTGATGCTGTAGTTAAGCCTGGAGTTTAAGCGGAGTGATTCTTAGAATAAAGGAGCTGATTAATTAGGAAACGTGTTGGTGCGTTTTCGACAAACGACGTTAGGTTCGAGCATAGTTTTAATAGGCTGATGGAACATTTATTTACTTATAGGGTCTAGGGGCACACTATTTTTTTTTAAAGTTTAGCTTTATCTGTGTAGTACTGACAATTAAATAGGTTACGCCTTTGGCGCCCTATATCAATTTTATTTGTAATCTGAAGCATTCAGAAGTGTATACTGCATAATAGTAATATCATTACTTTCCTAAACGCGGAAAAAAACTAAAGAAAACTAATCTGTACGAACTGGACTCTGTGCTAAGTGAGAGCATGCTTTAAGGAGTCGCCCACTTGAAATTTTACTCGCAGCTAGTGTAGTCCTCCATGTGCTCTCAGCAGCGGGGACCTGGTCACTTGGGTTCAATGCCGCAAGAGAACATGCAACGCACAACCAATCTATTCTTCCTCTGATTACTGCCAAACAGTAGGTGGTTTGGTCGGTACCAGTCCCACAGATACGATGCTGCCAAAAACCGCAATTGTCGCACTGTAGGGCTTGCTGGCGTGGTCGAACTTCATTTCCGCACTCGATACGGGGATGATGGCTCATTGTATATTTCTTTTGCGTACTCGTAACGATCTTGTGTTTCAGCGAGCTGATTATCTCGGATTGAGGTGACTGTTTTTAATTTACCCTCTTTAAATATGGTTAACCGGATCAAAATTTACATGCGATCGGCTGAGGAACAGAAGTCGCGATAATTTATGCCGCGTCTGATCCTAAGGGGAATGATGCTAACACGCTTTGTTCGCGTGGTTAACAATAAACAACGAAAAACTGCTGTAAAAGTTTCAGGTTGTTTTTATACGATAAGTCAAACTAACAGAAATTGATGTATTTTTCTGATATGTGTGAAAAATTCTGATAACTGAAAGTGTTCTGCTTTTAATTACTAGAATCTGTGCTGTAGAATGAGCTGTTTATTTCATAGCAACGAGCAACGCTGAAATGAACAGCGCTATTTGAGTCTTACTTTAACTTCATATTTGCATAGGTTAGCGAACGAAAACAGTGTACGAGTCAACAATTTACGAGTTTATTCCTTGTGATTTACTTAAGATGTTACCTTTCTTCAAGTTTAAACACTCGATAAAAATTAAAATTCGGGCGACATGACTCAAAATATCGGGCAACATGACTATGGGTTTCGGGCAACATGACTCTGGTTCCGGGCGGCATGACTTCGGGCGATATAACTTTCGGGCGACTTGACCGGTTACCGGAACGGATTCTACTTATACAATCCCTAAGGGGAGTAGAAAAATCATCTTGGACCTTGATGAACTCAGGCAAGTAGGGCATTTGGAAAAAGGCTCAGTTTAAGTTGCGTGCAAGCATTTTTTTTTTATGGGAAATCCTACTGTCTGGTGTAGTGGATCATATGTAAGAGAGGCACTGTTAACAATCGACATCTGTGAACTTGCGGCTTGGAAACAAATGTCAAGGGTGCAACTATTTAAAATACCTTAATTCCCCCTGTCTGTTTTCTATTTCTCTTTCGATCAGTCGGAAACAAGAAACTTATGGCTTGCGTACCCTCCATCAGGTCAAGGTCTCATTTATTTTTAGTTTTCTCTTGGTTGTAAGCGAAGTTTAAATTGGGAGATGACAAAACGCGGAGCCCTACTCCATGGATTACCCTATGGAGTACCTCAATGGAGTACCCTAAAAGTCATGTATTGATAAAATAAAATACTTCATCGACGTGGTGAATCGTTTAGATGTACATATCCTAATATATTTTGAGCTTGCCAGCTCTCCGATTCTCACAATCCGATAAAGTCCGCGAATTGACTGCCATCTTGAATTTAACATTTAAAGCTGACCACTTGAAACGGAAGGCTTTATTAATATAATCCATAAACGTTTTCTTTAATAGGCCGAATGGCATTTGTATTTATGATCTTCTTGAGGCCAAAAAAGTAGTCAAAAGTACCGACAACCTTCATTCGGTACCGGGTTTTTGCGTTAACTTTTTAAAATACCTGTTTATGTATGGCGTCCGTCGGTAAGAGGTGTGGCGTTCAATCTATTAAGGCCTCATGGGTTTCCTAATTGCGCGAAGTGATGAGGATACAACCTTACATTTGTAGGTTAAGACTTCAAAGGAGTAATCCACGTTTTTAAGCTGAGGTTCTCTTCACCCATCTATTTGTAGCGTAATAAAATTGCGATATGTAAACAAACAAACAAACAAAAAAGACAGCGACGGGTCAGCAAATAACTGCGACTGGGGCCTTTGATTTCGAAAATGCAGTAAGCTTGAATATTTTACCTCGTGCAGAACTCAACAGTGGGTTTTGTTCATCGTATGGAGTTTTTTTTATCTTCCCGTCTAAGGACTCATTACACAGCGGTAAAACCAAAATGGAGGAACCAGTGCGACTCAGAGCCCCTGCCCCCAAAAAAACCGGACTGTATCCTAAACTGTCAAAATCGGAAAGCTGGCAAGCTCGAAATATCTTAAGATATGTACATCTCTACGATTCACCATGTTTACAAAGTATTCTAATTGACCAATACATGATGTTTAGGGTTGTTCCATAGGGTACTCTATGGAGTAGGGCTCCGCGTTTTGTCATCTCTTGTTTAAATTTCATATCCAGCACAAAAATTTGAAATTCAGCCTAAGGTAACGAGGCTTTCTAAAGCCTCATCGCTATGGAACAGTGTGGGATGGCTTCCTAGAGAGGCTGGTCATTCAGCACATGTGATCACTTCATGAGTTTCCGGCCCTCGCTTCTCAACGACTCCTTTGAATACTTTCCCGTGGTCTTAATTGCTGTTAGATGGTGATGGTAACCGTTCAAGTCGCCTGAGAGCCATCTCGCCCGAAACCTGAGTCATGTTGCCCGAAATTTTAGTCATGTCGCCTGAAGAAACAAATATCTAGAGGATCGTACAGTCTGTACGTAGGCAATAAAGTTGAGTAATCTTTACCGCTGTTCGTTTCTAACGACAAAATGATGCGTTATTCCTTACTCGTTTCGTACTCACGGACGTTTCGCACGCGTAAAAACTTTATATTGGCTGGTACTGGTTTCCTACTCAAGTATAACTGAATTGATTTGAAGGTGTTAGTTTCATTTGTATTTTCTACTCCTCACGGAACATTAGCAAAGCAAGTCAGAATGAGAAGAAGTTGATTAACTTTCAACCTGTTTCTCTCTCTCCTTCTTGGCTATTCTCTGTTTTTCTTTCAATCAGTTGGAAATGAAAAAGTCTTAAAACAACAGCAACAATAACAGATGTTTTTACCGATAATGCTTTTAATAGAAATACTCGGTACCCATAGAGTAAACGACATATTCTGGTTCCAGTTCCAGTTACAACTTATATTACATAGAACATTTTAAGTAACATTATCTTACTTAAAGTCGTGTTATTCAAACAACACATTTATGACAAATGCATAGTAATTTACTAAGTAAGTTAAGTTATCTGTAAAGCTACATGAAATATCTTCCATGTATAGATTTTAATCTTACCTACATTTCAATGTATCACTGACAAACCAATAAAAAATATTAATCTGAAAAGGAGTAAGTTTACACTGTGCAAGAAATAAATCCAAAATCTTCTCAAAAATACGGGAACAAAACAGTCTTAGGATAAAAAAACAGCAACAACAATATTTTAAATTCTCCTACTCTATTCTTGTACATGTATTTTTACATTGAAACATATTTACACCTAACAGGCCTCCACTTGAGCCTAACATGTGACTGAACAGTCAATACTTGTGCTATCAAAGTTACAACTGTACACTGTTCTTTCTCTTTCTATTTTCAGTGCTTCCACAAAGTGTAGAAGGAACCATGTTTGTCTGTCAGTTGGCTGGTCATCTTTCATTGAGGAAGGGTTGACTTCCTTCATAAATGCTTTGCCATCTTCATCACTAGCAAGGAACTTTCCAGTCTTTTTGGACTTAATAGACATATAATCACTTTGATTGTTGACATGTTGAACTTCAAACATGTATTTCGTCTCATCGGGCTGATGGGCAACCAACTGCAAATAAAAATATAGAGTTGAATTAACAACTTAAACGAAACAGTTGTAACTTTACTGCTTTTTAGACGAGAATAAAATGATTGGTCAGGGTATGGTGGATGCTTTACTGCAGAACGATTCAGGGTTATTCCACAAATTATTATTTCCCATACAGAAGTACTACTGAGTAATGTGCACTTGGGAAGGAATTATAGTAGTTAATTTTCGCCCACTATTTTTGTTAACTTTCTACTTGAGTGACTTGTTTCTGGGAATTTGCACTTTGAAGACAACAGAGATAATAAAGTCATAACCACGGTATTTCACAACTCACCTGTAAAAACACCCTGTTCCCTTCTGCACACAGGTAGTAATGGCTGCCATCCAAGTCATACCTAATGGTATTTCCTCCATTATGATAAGCTTTTCCTAGGTAAAATTCTAGAAACATGAATAAAAAAAAATAAAATTTATTATTCAAAGAAATTCAAATATTGGATGTGAAAATTGCTTAATGCAGTCCGCTAAACTGATCTGATCAATCCCGTTTACTACTGAATGATGTTCTGTAGCTGTAGCGCTTAAAGATAATTGTCCTGTTCTCCATTTAACAAAAACAGTTAAAGAAAAGCATTTCTCGAATTTACGTACAGCTGTAATTGCTAAAGTAAACAAGTTTTGCATTACTGTACAAGATAAGTTAACCACGAACATCGATAGTATGGTGAGATTAATAGCTATAAATGAAGCCTTGTGAATGTTCATGGATACTCGAGCTTCCTTTATAGAACGTTAAGAATAAATGAAAAAATCTGCTAGTGTCTTTACATGTAGAGTACACTCACAATAGAGCTAATCGGGAAACTCCTTTAAATCCACTTGCAGTTAAATGGACACTGAGTCAGTAAAATTTTTGCGGACATCTCTCCTCTTTCTTATTATGCTCAATTATTTTAGACTATGCCGCCATATTACATACACAAAAGCTTCATAATAGCTTCTTGTTAGGGTAACGCCCCATCAAACGCTTATATATTTACCTATTTTATTGCTCCGATGGCTCCCGGTAAACTTAACATGGATTTGAGGACCAGGTTCGCTTTCCGGCAAATCTGCGAAGAGTAGGTTTCCACTTTTGTCAAGTCATTGCTCGGGGATGTCCATTCGATAGCACGCGCTAATTTTGATTAACTATCCGATAAAATTGGAAAAAAAGTGTCGTGTATTAGGATTTAAATGCAACAAAACTCCACACACGCGCAGCAGGAAATGAACTGCGCGGGCTTAATTGTGTAATTGAAAAATTTGAGTATTCTTTTTTTTCAATTTTTTTTCAAAATAAATGAACGTCGAATTTTGTGGCTGAGGCTTAACGTTTTTATTTTTTTTGCGATTTGAGCCTAAAAACGTTCTCAACATGTTCTGACTAGTTGGAGCTATAGCATTTCAAAGTGAGTTGTTCTATAGTGTATCGCGCAATAAGAAGACTGCATTACTGTTTTGAAAGGCCCTTAGTATTTGAGCTAATTGTCCTGTTAGACCACAGTTTTACATTCTCACGCTCAGATAGAAAAAAAAGAAAAATAAAGACGTTCTTATTTTACATGACTCTCAGCCTGGGTTTTTTCTTAGTTTGTTCCTACAATTTTGGTTAATCCCAGCCTTAATGTTCCTATAAAAGAACGTTCGTACATAATGAAAGAGAGTGTATATGAAGGTTGCAAAGTAAAATTTACAGTAAGTTTGCCGTACCTCAACCATATTTGGTTTTTAGCAGTTTTTCCTCCAAGCTTGATCTTTAGTCTCTAGTTTCTCCTGATCTTGATCGTTGCTGGTTGTAAATGGTATGGAAACCTTTGGATTCGATGATCTATTTATACGGAAAGTTGAGAAAGACTAATATGTTGATTGACACCAAAGTCGTCCGGTTCTTTCAGAAAATGAAAGTGTCAAATACCTCAGTCATTCACTCGGATTTTGAGATAAGCTGAGATTTTATCGAGTTAGACTAGTTCCTATGGCTTCCAACTGGACATGCAGTTGGAAATGCTCGCGATTCTGTTTGGAGTAGAAGAGTTTTTTTCATTTAATCATGAAGAACGAGTCACGCAAATCTGGAATCTAAGAGGTTTCCAAAATAGACTCTAAAAGATATTCTAAATTGGTTAGGAGATATATCTTTAAGAAACTGAAAAAGTGGAATTTCCTTTTTTTCAGTGATGTTAGAAATTAGCCGTTAATTGATACTTGTTTAATAGATAATGTATTTTGGGATCGTCACGCAAGTGACCGCATGACATTCATGTCGCACTAAAAATGGGAATATTGTACAGGTCAAAAACAGCAACATTATTCGATTTTATTCGCGCTGAAAAAAATAACGGAGATAAATTTTATCGTTTAGCAATAATTGCAGCCACAGAAAATTTAAAATATTGGAATCTCTCTAAGGAAGATTTCTAACACGTGCACGGTGTAAGTGTGAATTCTGTTTGAAAATGAAAATATTTCACTTAATTTTTTTTTATTAAGATTCTAATATTTTTATGTAGACTCTAAGATGCATAACGGAAAGAATTCTCGTATTTCAGTAAAAATAAAAACAAGAATCAAAACAAAAGTAACAAAAAAAAATTAATAGACGAGCCCGATAACCTAAAAAAACTTGTCAATCATGAGTATCTCACGCGGAACCATTCTATAAGTCTTTCTCTCGCCAAAATGCCAACGAATTACGAGCCGATCACGATTTAATACCAGCCCACGTGGGATATCTCATGGTTGTTGACGGTAGAGCATTAAGTCGCGCGATAAAAGGGGATGTACATTTTACTGTTTGAAGGAAAAGTACATAAAATCTTCACTTCTCCGGGAAATGAAGAAAGTCCGTACACCCTCAGTTGTTCATCAAAAGGAAAAAAAATTTCCAAGGTAAGCATAGTTCTGCAATTGAATCGTTAGGTATTTCCCTCTATTACTAGCTTTTAAACAGTGTTTCCGTAAAATTTTCTGGTACTACCACTTTTTCATACGTAAGCGACGCTGATTTATTTATTTATTTTTAATTTAATGATTTGTACCCAGTACTGGAGCAGAAACAATAGGACATGGGTCCCCTACGAGGTTTAAGCTCCAACAAACCCACCCATCCCACCCCAGGGGAGGACATCCATCACACAGTAATCTCGTGCGTGGGAAATTAACGTCTCCTACCCCTAACCCTGCAGGAGACGGGACCTCCATTTATTCGTCCCTATCCGAGAAGACTAGAATATCTAACCATTTCTTGATGTTATAGAAAGGTAGCATATTCTTCTCAATTATTTTAAGACCTTGAGTGTTGGTCCGGCCGGGGCTCGAACCCTCGACCTCCCGCACAACAGTCCAGCGCTCTATCCATTGAGCTAACCGGGAGGCGGTTAAAA